TCCTGCATCCCGATGGGTAAATCCATAGACGACTGGCGCAAATGTGGAAGTCAGACGTTAACAGCAAACATATTAATGTATGAGGAGAAACAAAAGGGCTGTGAGGAAGAGGAGAGATATATTTTAAACTGCTGTGAGCTTCTGTAGAGAGAGTGAGTGTCCAAGTCAAGGTGAAATCCCCTTTTGCTCTGTGAAACAGAACTTTGGTGCTTTTTCTGTCTTCCATTTTGTGATTAAGTGAGTGGAGGGACTGAGGTCAAGTGGCCCAGAGAGGAAGTGACTGACCCCAGAACCCTGTGGAGACCCTGACTGGGATTATGACTATATGAGTGAATGTTTGTGTGTCTCAGATGCTCTGTATATTTAGTAGAAACGATGCCCCCCAACACACACACACACACACACACACACACACACACCAAGGTGGATGGGAAAACAGAAGTGAAAGGAATGAGTGCTGGGATCACATGTGGTGTGTGGTACCGTTCAATTTGATCTGAGCCGCGTTGCCGTCAAAGACAGAAACGGTGCCGTTGGAGCGCGACAGCGTGGCGGTGACTCCAGTCTTAGAGAGCTCCAGAGAACTTAGAGAGTCTTAGGTGCTCATCAGTTTGAGGGTTCCTCTAGTCAACACGCATTTTAAAGAAATCTGAGGCACTCGAGGATCATAAATATGATCTGAGGAGGATCAGACTCCACCCTGACACATGACTGTGGCTGTAGGCAGCTTATCAGAACTCATGCTGACTTGCTTCAGGTGGATCTCAACATCTGGCCCATCCAGTTGCAGTGTCGTCTTTACGACGGCGTTCCAGGAAGCTCCCCAGCAGGAGGAAGCCTGGGACTGCCGGAGTCGTCAGCAGAGAGTAGGCACACCGATCGGGGACAGAGTAAACTTGGCCGTCGAAGTCAACGACAGTGGGGCCGGTCACAGCGCAGGTGCCGTCAAACACACAGCTGATGGACAGAAACAACCACAAACATCGTCATCAGCTGCTTCATGAGGGCCACAGCCACCAGGGGGCCCTCAAACAAAGATAGTACAGTTTTCTGTTCCTCTTTTTGTCCAAATGTAGGACTTTATCTACACAATATTTGCTAGTGATGTTTCCACACCTCAGCGTCTCAGTGGAGGGTTGCTGACCTGACCCACACTGCTCTGGTCCTGCTTGGCACTAGTGCCTTGTCCCACACTAAACTAAACAAGTGGCTTTGATGCCTATGGCAACAGCATTCACTGAGGCAAATATCACAACACAATCTCCTGTGGTTCGAGGGTCGTAAAAGCCGTCAAAACAGAAGACGCACTTGTCACAGGTGATGTTCCCCCGTGAAAATCAGAGACACAAAAAGTAAATAGCAACCAGTTTTATCCAGAGGGTCCTGAGAATGTAACCTGCAGCTGGTGAAGCTGAAGGCAGACAACAGCCCCTGAATCAGTTTGGCTGAGAGGCTAACCAGCTGCAGCGCTCTGACCAACTCCTGTCCACTGAGGACATGGTGGTGAACTCATAAGAGGGACTTGATTCATTCATCCATCGGTGATGTTGCCTCACTGGGAATCCACACTGAAAGCAAGAAGAGAGCCGCGTGTTCTGGGTCTTTGTCGTCAGAACAGCCGTCTGTCTGTCAGCAGGACAGCGGTCAGACAGAGAGGCTTCACCAGGCCGATCAACAACGCAAATGTACTGGACAAAAATAGTTTTCATGTAAAATCATCAGGAAGAAATCACGCTTTTATGTAGCCTATGGATTTCCTGGTTTTATTGATTTTCCCCGCTCGTGTCAGAGGGCGAGCGAAAATAAAATGAAAAGCAGCCTAATCAGTGACAACAGATACCAGTAGAAACAGAAATGAACATAATTTAAACAGCTGACTGTGGAGAAGGAAACACCTGAGACTTAAAAAACATGAGGCGGAGTCTGGGATTCAGTGTGGGTCGACATGTTTCATAGGATGGAATTCTATCTGCAGCATGAGACGGGTGTAGAAAACACTTCTAAAAACATGTTCAGTGTGGATTAGGGCTCCGTCTGCACACACCACCTCCACCACAGGTGGAGACTGAACATCAGTAATGGCCAGAGATGGACGCCACAAACATGTCAGGCTTCGTGCTACTCACACAGAGTTTCTTGTACGTCTGTTATAGTAGGTGATGGGACAGGAGCTGATGTTCACCTCTGAGGACTGAGTAAACACCACCTGTGCAGCAGCACCTGAAGACATGGAGACAAGAGAGGACAAAGCCACAGTCTGTCAGCTGCTTGGACACAGGGAAGGCTGCATGTTCAGCTTCATGCAGGAATACGACAGTTACCGGTCAGCAGCACTTTGATTCGACCTCATCAGTCAGCTTGTCTTCTTAGAAACAGAGATGTGAGGAAAGTCTCTGCACATCTGGCAGATTGTCTTCTTAGAAACAGAGATGTGAGGAAAGTCTCTGCACATCTGGCAGATTCTCAGCAGCTAAAGCTTCAGTGTCACTCATCACTTCATTCTGCTCTTTGTTACTCAGACTCTTTGCTCATTTATCATGTCAGTTCTACCAATATCCCTCAACAAGTCCTGTGGGGAGAGTTTCAGAACGGCTGCCCTGTGTGTGAGCTTACCTGCCAGCAGGCTGAGGCCGGACAAGTAGAGCAGTGGGAGGAGCATGTTGGAGGAGGCCAGTCAGCTGACACAGAGCTGGAAGACACACAGGTGCACATCTGTGATTGGACAGAACGTCACAGAGTTCACTACTTTTCCTGACAAACAGAAAATGAAGCTCAGTCCGTGTGTGTGATGTCTGGTAAATGCCACAGAGTTCAGAAACAACAGCAGCCGTCACAGCTGATCCCACCTTCACTACCCTGCTGCCCTGATCTAACATCTCAGTGTAGTCAGTAGATACAGTACTAGATTATGTAGCAGACTTTAGCCACATATGTCTGAATGTTGTGGCTATTTCAGTCAGAGACTCTTCAATCCGGCTGGTGAACATTTACAGTAAACGACTGCTCAGTTAGATTTGGCAGAAACATCTCAGTGAAACCAGCAGTGATGAGGATTCTGCTGAGAGGGATCATTTCCCCTCAAACAAAACGACTGCCCCCTCCTTGAACAACGGACTTAGATTCATCAGATGGACACAAATACAACTCCAAAAGAATGAACGTTTATCAGAAGCTGCTTCTATGTGCATGTGTATTTACTGTGCTACCTGCTGTGTGGTTGAAGAAGCAGAAGAGAAGGTGTGCAGGTTGTCTTACCCTCTGGAGCTTTGACAGAGGATGACGATGATGAAGGTTGCTGGTCAGGAGATGAATGATTCTGCAGCTTCTGCCCAGACTGGCCTGTTGGTCTCTGTGTGGAGGACGCCGCTCTCTCTCGTTTTATGTACATCCTGGCTGCTGTGCACACCCACAAGGAGAGAAGGGTGGGGTTGGTGGTGGAGTCAATGTGTCACTTGATGTTGTGGATGCCAGCATAGCAGATGCTGGTATGTCATTATGTGTCCCACTACCACAATGTGAAGCTTCCTTTGACGTGTTCTTCATTAGAGTTGTCACATAGCTTGAACAATAGCAGAGGGAACCAGGAGGAAGACTGTGTGTGCACGAACACAGGGCAAAAACCTTTAAACAAACATCAAAATCAATGTGAACCACAAAGGCTGAAACATAGTGAAGATTAGAGGAAAAACAAAGATATTACAGTGTCACCAGGGGCCGCATACGAAGGGCTGCACTAACGTTCAGACAGGGCTTTGATACACTGATGAAAAAATGCTCATTTATACTGGATGTTCATAGATAATGTTGGCAGTGTTTTGTTACTAGTCCAATGCTCATGAGTGGGTTTTAAAAACATCCTGGACATTGTGCACTGTGTTTTCTGGATAACAGACTGTCAGGGGCCACATACGAAGGGCTGCACTAATGTTCAGACAGGGCTTTGATACACAGATGAAAAACTGCTCATTTATACTGGATGTTCATAGAAAATGTTGGCAGTGTTTTGTTACTAGTCCAATGCTCATGAGTGGGTTTTAAAAACATCCTGGACATTGTGCACTGTGTTTTCTGGATAACAGACTGAATTAGAGGGAAGCTGCTTTAGGATTGGTTCTGAGCCTTCAAATCCACAGGAGACAAACCTTTAAAGATTTGCTGTGTAAAAAAACACAGGCCAATGAAAGACAAATCAACTGGAGTCACAGCTTCGAGTTTGGGGAATTTCTATTCTGAGTAAAGTCTTTATTGTCAAATGGGGCAGATTCCTGTCCACCACTCAACAGGCATTTCACCACGTGTACCTACCCTCTGATTCATCTGATGGCATGGCATCTTCGTTAGACTGAGGATGGTCTGTTTAGTTATTATCATAACTGAACAGACCGTCGAATAAAGCAATTTACAGAGCTCTGGGTTCCATCTCTATCTGAAGGCCTGACCTCAACAGCAAAACTGTTCAACTCATCTTCAGGACGAGAGGGAACACTGTCCTCCTCCATTCAGTTGATTTTATACAATTTCAAATGTGCCCTTGTAGGCTGGTCCGGTCCTCTCGTGCTGTTCTATTGGTCCATCTATCCATCCGTCCTCCTCCTGCGTCCTTTCTGCTCCAATGGGAAA